AAGATGAAACTATTCGGTGTAATGAGCAAGAACATGTCGAACATAAAAAGAAAAAAAATGAAAAAGGTGATGGTGACCTTATATTTGAGGCAATAGAGGATGAAAAATCTCCATCAACTGATGAAGATATTCATCTCCCTATCGATGGTGAACGAACTGAAAAATGTGAATGTACAACTTCATCAATAAATACAGTTGATGATGAATGCGACAATATGTTACCTATCACTGAAGGCGATCGACTATTTAATCTTGTTATTCATCTTCAATCAATTAGTGGAAAAATTTCAAATGAACAAAATGTTGGTATGTCTAATTTTCGTGTTAAACATCGTTTACATCGCCATTCAAAAACGAATACTTTTGGGCATTGGAGAGGAGCAATGAAAAAAGCTTTTGAACTTAAAGATCCATGGTAAATCTTGTTCTCTGAATCTTTCAAGAAATTTTTGGTTTTTCTTTTTTGTTACTTTTTCTTTTTAGGGAAGATTTTAAAGTTGATAATTATCCAGAAGAAATTGTTATATGTCATGAGTTTGATCCAATTAAACGTACATGGCATACAAATCAAATTACAGTTAGAATTGAATCAAAACCATTTGCACATGGAAGTATGAGAGAATGTTTTCGATTGTAAGTTTATTTTTATTAGTAATTTAAAATAGATAAAAAAGTAACAAATTTTTATTTAGAAAAAAACTCTCAATTTTTTCAACTAATCAAGATTGGGATCGTTCAAGTAATTATATTGCTAAACGATATATTGATGATGTACCAATGGCACGATATTTTGATGATGTTATGATGCAAATGACAACAAAATTATGGGCAGCACATTATAATCAACATAATCCACCGAAAAAAGTATTTTGTTTTTTTTTTGTTTTTGATTAAATGAAAAATAAAAATAAATAAATTTTTTTTTATTATTTTTATTTCTTCAAGGTTGATATTATTCAAATGAGTGTATTAGAATTTAAAGATCGTGCTGGTCGACCTTATTATCATTTAGAACGATTTATTGTAAGATAAACAAATAAATAAAAAAAAAAAAAACGTCAATTTATTTTCAATATTTTAGGACGGCGACTATATAAAATATAATTCAAATAGTGGTTTTGTTTGTGATGATACTACTCTACGTCATACACCACAGGTTTCTCTTTTTATTGTATTATAATAAAAATAGTCAAAATTTATTTTTTGTTTATTTCAAGGCATTTAGTCATTTTACTTTCGAAGCATCTTGTCATGAACAGATTGTTGTTGATATTCAAGGTGTTGGTGATTTATATACTGATCCACAAATTCATACAAGTCTTGGTGTTGAATATGGCGGTTAGAAATTTTATTATCTTGTTTTCTTTGAATTGAATCTATCTAGAAATTTTTAATAGAAGGTAATCTTGGTATTCGTGGTATGGGATTATTTTTTTTTACACATGAATGTAATCCAATATGTAAACGTCTTAATTTAACATCATTTGATTTATCACCTGGTGAACGTGAACGTCATATACAACAACAGGCATTAAGTTCATCACATGCATCAAATCATCCAGCTCAAACAACATGTCGCGGTTCGGTGGAACCATTAAAAGATTTTTCAAAATTTTCTTCATTATTTCGACGACTTCGTTCAGCACCGTTAATATCACAAGATGACTCAGATGGTTATGTTTCTGAAACATCATCAATTACAGGTGCTACTACTCATATATTTAATCATAGTTTATCATTACCACAAGCTGAACTATCTGCGACAATGCCTAATGATGAAAATTTGCCGTTATCATCATTACTTAAAAATACTAAATTACCATTATCAACAGCTAGTCTTAATAGTCCATCACCTGTAAGTATTTTTCTAAAATTGCATGAAAATTACGTTTTATTTAAAATATATCTTTTTTTGTTATGTAAAGGATTCTTCACGTTCACAATCTGTAAGTAATTAAATGAATTAGAAGAAATTGAAGAAAAGTTTTTATTTTTTATTTTTAAGGATTTCAACTTAAACATGGAAGATTTGTATAACGCTCAAACACCGAATAGTTATGGAGACACTCATCGCCCTTCATCAGTTATACTTGAAAAAACTGAAATGCGAAAATTTGAAGAAACATCTGCTTCTTATGAAAAATATGAAAGTATTCTTGGACAGGTATTATCAATTTTATTTTAAATTTATTTAATGACTTATAATTATTTATAAGATTTAACACAAAGATAGATATTAGTATCTGTTGTAGAGCTTGTCGAGTTGGTTCTAGATTCGAAAATTTTCTACCTAAGAAGTTCTAGTTATTCTTCTGGAGAAAATGAAAAACTAGGAGTAGTTTTTTTTAAACTGTTGATTTATTTTTGGGCAAAATTTAGTATATATTGTTATTCATTCTCTATTTGATAGACAGTGTATTTCTATTTGATTGATGTATGATTGTATAGTATAGCTCATCTGTAGCTTATACTATTGATATCGTTTCATTAACAATGAAAAGAAAAGAAAATTGGTTACTTTTTCAAGCATCATATTAACCTGATTTTTTATTTGTTCATGTTTCATTGCAAATGGATGAATGCATGATTATGAAATTAATTAATTATTTTCTTTTTTCATAAAAGATTGAAGAAGAAAATAATCGGGTGATGATGGAAAGAAAGTTATAGTTTGTCTTAAAGTAATCGATTTTTTATTTCTTTTGTTTTATTTCCTTTCTTTTCATTGTTAATGAAACGATGTCAATAGTATAAGCTGTAGATGGGCTGTATTATACAATTATACATCTATCAAATAGATATACAATGTCTATTAAATAGAGAATGAATAACAACATATACCAAATTTTGCTCAAAAACAAATCAAAATTTAAATTCTACGTTTTGATTGATACGACTGTAGAAAATCTAGTTAGATTCAATTCTATATTCACCAAAAGATTTTTTTCTATACTGAAGTCCAAAAAAAAACTGGTTTTGGTTCATATCTGTTTAGAATACGTGAGTCGTAATAATATGACATTCAACGCAAGTTTTACACGACCATAAAATATATTGTTGCCAATGAGGAATTGTTATTCCTGATCCTAGTCAAAAATAAAACCAAGTCCCACTAGAACCGAGATTATCTGGATCATATCTGATGTTAAATCATGAGTTCATTTATCATTGAAGCAATTCCATTAGTGAATCCCTTTGTGGTAAATAATAATTTTTCCAATTGAATTATTTAATCAATTATTAATGAAAATTGTAATAAAATATTCTTTTTTCTAACAATAATTTAGATTCATCTTGAAATGTGTAAATGTTATCAAGTTGGTAGATTTAGTGAATTAGGTTCCGAAGAATTTGATGAAGAATCAGCATTTTTTCATTTAGAACAAGCAGCCGAATTATGTATTAAAGAAGCTATATTTATATTTGCAAAAATTTATTTAGATTTACCTCGTGATCTTTTATCACATTATCGTCCAACGGTAGACTTTTAATCTTACAAATAATCATTATAGAAAATGATTACTTTTTTTTTTCTTCATAGGATCAAGTCAATCAAATTAGTAAAGGTTTAAATTTGATGATTCGTGCTAGTGAACAACATGAAACAGAAGCAAATCTTTATTTAGCACAACTTTTTGATAATGGTGTTGAAGGATCTTTGTTTGTATTTTTTTTGTTAATTCTATTAATCATTTTTATTTTTAATCATTTTATTTATTTTAGAGAACCAAATTGGAAACAAGCAACTGAATATTATGAAAAATATATTCGTATACGTGAAAATGAATCGAATATTGTTGATGAAAATAGTGAATCTAATGAATTAGATCAAACTAATTCAACTCATAATGGCATTCCATTTCATGATCATCATGATAGTGTTGCTCGTTTAGCTACTTTATATAAAACAGGTGGACATAATTTATTATGCAATTATCAAAAAGCTGGTAAATTTTATTTTTGGTTTCATTTTGTAATAGTCCAATTTGAGTTAATTGAATGTTTTCTCCTTTTTATTTTTATTAAAAGGTGATTTATTTAATAAGGCAGCAGAAATGGCAACTGCAGCAATGAAAGGACGTCTTGCTAATAAATATTACATGTCAGCTGAAGAAGCTTATGGATTAGAACCCGATGAAGAAGTTGAAGAAAGTTAAACGGCTTTTTTTTTCTGTATTCGTCTATCAATCCGAGTAATCATTGTCTTTCTACGTGGTATTTTTTCTATGAGACATTATTATTATTATTATTCAACTTTCTTATATTGCATTCACTTGATTATTATTAGTTTTAGGTTTGATAACACATCATTAATTTTTTGTACTCATTAGTCTTTTATTTTTGTTTAGCTTAGTTTAAATAAAAAGAAAAATCATGGCACTTGTACACATTTGTATTACTTTTGTCACCATGTAAATTGTATTCAACTATTTTTCAACAAGCTTTATGTAAAAAAAAGAACAAAGGATAAGGTCGCATATGAACATGATTTGGTCCATAGAGCTTGTTCATACTAAATCCAGTACAATCATATATAGGATGAAAGAACTTTAATCGATGAGTAATTTGATATCAGATTTGAGTTATACTTCAGATACATTTCAGGATTTCTTCAACCAAATATGCATTATATAATGACGATATTACCATCATATCTGGTATCACCTTTTAACATGTAAAATCCGGCGAAGTCAGACAAAAAAAAAATTAAGGATCATACGGTAAAAATGATGTCAATATTATATCTCATACAATATAATTGATTTATTATTCTTCTTAAATCACGAGAAGCTAGGTTTCATTATAGTTTGTTAAGTAGCACTTTGCATGAACGATAGATTCGTATTATGTGTATCATCAGAAAACTGAAGTCGCTATGATGAAATAGGCACATACTGTTTTAGTAGATCTCGAAAAAGTGTGACGTGATTTTCTTTTCATGCTATTCTTTTTCAACGTGAAATACAACATTGAATATGATAGGAAGTTCATATCATGATCGCCATCTAGCTTGTCTGAACTATGTTAATGAATCGTGGTGTCGGTTTGTGTGAAAAGAGGATCGATATTCACGATATGTTTCTACGGCATAGTTTCACGAAGAACATGAACAACCAATACAAAGCTCGTATTGTACTTGCATTCCTGACGGTCGAAAAGCCGATATGTATGCGCACGTGTGACAGCAAGTCTCTGGCATTTGGCTGTCGAAAGAGGTGTTGTTTCAACATTTTTTCATCTACTTGCTGCCAACAAGCTGCTGGAGGCTATTGATGATAACATGTAGTTGTCCGACGAAGAAAACCACTCAGTTGATGAGAATCAATCGTCTCTTTCGTTGGCTAACATAAAAAGCAGTAATGATTATAGCAACGAAGACTAGGGTTGGCGGCTTCGTTTTGTATCTCGTCAACTTTTGCAAATATTGTTCAAAGTTGACTGTTTTGCTTATTGCTATTTCCTCTCCCAGCATAAACAGCATATACAGCATCAAAATAATTCCAGAGATGAGTAAGTCACAGGTTTTAAGGTCCACGTGAAGTGACGTTATTGAACCAGACATGATCAATAGTCTTCTGTTCAACGTTTTCTGTTCGATATCGTGCAAACGTGACAACATTTGCATGATTGTCCTTTTAAATAGCAAGAAGTAACGCGCCAATAAGTCCCACGACTACTAGTACAATCTACCTAATAGTTCTAAGGCAATTATCTAATAGGGTTCAGAAAACTTAGATGGCAATGGTGATATGCACATCTCAAAAATATTTGATGTTCTATTTCATTTTTGAAAACAATAGCATAAACAGGGTGTGAGTATGGATAGGAGTAGACTTCTCCTCATATCCACACACACACCAAAAACCCACACCCTAATTTTCAAGAACTCAAGAGAAGTATTGCCTTTCGAATTAAATTGCATTAGACAATAAAGACTTATTGTATGAGCCATCACTCGCTTTCGAGCTGAAAACAGAATGAAGTACCATACTTGCTGTGTTCGTACGTGAGCTTACAAAAACAAAGTCAAGAAATAATTACCATAACCGACAAAACCATCAACAAGCTGGTTAGAATAACGAATCTTTTTTTTTGTGATACCACATCTTGACTATATGAGGAAAAGACAGTTAAATGATGATTAAATAAAACTTATTCAATTCTTGAATATAGACATGCACCTATACATGGAAACATTTCAATTCAAAATTACACTCTCTCATTTTTTGACATGCTGTAGAGCTCGTCGAGTTACATATAAGCTGGAATTTCAACGATTAATGGATCTTTTCTTACGAAATTATACAATTTACAGGATCGATTTTCTGTCGGAACCCCACCAGACGTGAGAAAAGTATTTTGAAAATTGTTTTGTACAACTTTTCGAAGAACAAGAGCATACTCGTAAAAAAAGTGTGGAAAAAAAACTTGACGAGGACATTTTGAAGTGTGAGAATAAGAAGTTTGAGATTAAAAATACTGAAATTACGAACTTTGAAATCCTGAAAGAAAATACCTAAAAACTGTGATTTCAATATTTTTTGAAGTTTTCTAATAGAAACTGAGGATGAAATTTCTTATTTCCATGTTTTGAACGGTCTTCTACAAGTTTTTCTGACACTTTTTTTTCACGAGAATGCTCTCGTTCTCCGGAAAGGTGTACAAAAAGTCTTTCAAAATCCTTTTCCTATTTTGTATGAATCTAGCAGAAAATCAATTCTGTAAATTCTATAACTTCGTGAAAAAAAAACCATTAATCGTAGGAATTTCATCTTATATGTAACTTGACGAGCCCTACGACATATAAAAGTTCAGGATGGCATATACCACCCTCCTTCGTAAAAACATCGAGAAACTATAGATGGTAAATCAACACATATGTTGGTTGAGCTTCATTTCATCTGTGACTTAACTCTTGTGCTTTTTTTTATGTTATAAAAAAACCTATCGTTGAAGAACAAATTACACAAGTATCTATTTGATGTTTGTGTTGTCTTTCTCTACAAATGAAATCAGCAGCTTAATTTCGTGCGAATAATTTATAAGCTCCAAACAATAGGTTTTATCTTCTTCAAGAAACGAGCACAGAGCTTATAGTATACAGTTCGATTTGCAAAAATGGAAAAAAAGACAATGACGAATTCAATCGAACATTAATTGGAGTTTTTTTTTCGAATGAAATAACAGATTAATCATGATGAAACATCCAAACATGCACGATTTTGATAATATGAGTACGGATAAAACTAGAGATTTTTTGCGATGCAAATTGATGAAATTTCTTGGTTGCTGCTCTTACAGGTAATTCACAAAAGAAAGTGCATATCTTTGTTTGTGTATTGAAATATTTCATCAGTTTTTTGTCTTTCTTTGAATTCTTTGTTTCTATTTTTCTTAATCGCCTCTCGAGTGAATCCATCAGACGAAAAAATAAAAAAAAAATACGTTTCTATTAGAAACAATAAGTAACAAGCACTCACCAGTGAATAGACGCATGTGGATTTGTTTTTAATAAATCCTAGTGTGTTATATTCTCTATATAAAATTCTGTTTTTTGTCGACAAACGCACAGAAAGAATCGATTGATTATTGTAGTTTATTGCATGCCACAATAGAATAAAATGAGAACTTCCGCAAAGATTTCTTCAACTCGTCGTAGTCGTACAAATAGAACTACAACACTTGAACAACTCTCACCAGAGATTTTCTACGAAATTTTTGATTATCTAACGGGTAATCAAATTTATATATCCTTTTTAGGTCTTAATAGACACATCAATCAGCTTGTTCACCATACACCTAATGTTCATTTGAATTTATCTCAAACAACAACAAGATTTTATCATAGTTTTCAACGAATATTTTGTGAGAAAAATATTGTTTCGGTTATATTAGCCTCCGACGATGTCAACTTATTAGAAAGATTATTCAGTTCAACTGGCGGAGGGCGATTAAAATCAATTTCTATGTTAGATTTATCTTTACATATATTTCAAACTAAAATACCCGAAACATTGAACAATTTCAAACAGCAATTAGTCAGTTTAAAGATTCAATTGATGAATATAAGATCCCATGGAACTGCAGCTCAAACTGTTCAATCTTTCGAATATCTATTGACACAATTACCGTTATTAAAATATTTTGCATTGAGCGGTTACAGTGACATCAATCAAATAACATATTTGAATTCAACTATTATCAATAATACTGTCGTAAGTTTAACAATTTCTATAACTGATTATATGCGTTGGATATCATTATTGTATCGATTTGGAAAATTGAAAGTACTCACAGTTAATTTTCGTTTTGAAAATCAGAAGAAAAGAGTGGCTTCTCGAGATTCCAGTTCGTATTTTGGAAGTCAAATACATGAAAACTTATCGATCGATCATCCTTTTCGACTTCGTCATATTAAAATCTATCAATACAATATGATATTGGAAAATGTTGAAAAATTGTTTCAACTCATAATTTCACCAACCTTATTGACTCTGAGCTTATGTAATTGTCAATGTCCTTTTACGAGATATCCGCTACCGATAAGACGACCTCCGTTTCTCGATGGTACACAATGGCATGATTTGGTGAAAAAGTATTTACTACCCACGATGAAACGATTCTATATCGAATACGAAGATGTTGATAATACAATGTCCATAACAAATCTTGTACGAGTTAAAAAAGAATTTATGAAATATAGTGAACCAAATTTACCATGGGAAGTTACATGCTCATACGATCGAAAAACAACACTTCTTTCTTTTGATTTCATTTTTATTTAAATAGATCTAAGTTCAATTTGAATTGAACAAATAATCACTGATAAATTTTGTCTGAATAGAATTACAATTGATTAATTTATTATTTGTAAATGTTTCATTGATTTCGATTACAAAAAAGATCTGGAAGCGATGTTCTCCTCAATATTAGTTTTGTACATCGATTGATCAGTGTCCATGCACTAACGACACCGATATTAGTGTTCCTCTAATATACCGACACACTGATGCAAGCAACATATATCCTATTTGACGCTTTTGAAGTGCGACACAATTTTTAATCAATCCAAGAAAACATTGCAGTCTAATTTCCTCTATCGGAAGTGATCAGAAAAGCCAGAGAAATAAGTTTTCCTGATTGTTAAAATCATCTTCAGTCGGATGATATAGAATCAGAAGTTCACACACTTTTCGAGACTGGAAAATTCTCACTATCTTTTGATATAATCTAGTTACTTTACTATGCTTGTATTAGAAAATAATTGATTGTAATCAACGATCATTCGATTTTTTTCTATATGAGTATGCACCATCTTGATGAAAACATTTTCTTAATGATAGATTGCTTTTGATATGTTGATAATTATGTCGACAAGATTATCAGAAATCATGGTGTTTTATAGTTGTCATCCGATGCACGATGGATACTATGTGAAACAGTAGAGAAAAAAAATTCTTGTAAGTTACTAGGAAAAGAAGAGTTTATATGACAGTTTCACAATATTGTCTTCATTCGTTTTCGAAGTGTCGCTATAACAGATAATGGTTACATTTTTCTTTCTTTAGAATTGTTTCATCTACAAGTGTATCATAGCTCATGAGTATCAGGCATTTATTTCTACAGCAATCATTCGTGCCTGTCTCTTCGTATTTAGTCTTTGATGGTAGATCAACAAATTGTTTGGAACTGTTTTAAGTTAGAATATGTTTAAATATAACTATAATATAGAACTATACACTGTAAGACATGATGAAAAAAGGAGATAGTAAGACTTATTTTCGAACAATAAATGCTAGTCGCCTAAGCTTTTGTGAAAAAGTAAAGAGTATAAGCGAGAAAGATGCTTCACACAACAGACTTATTTATTTTATATAATTGAATCGACTTTTCTCAAGGCTAAATGTTCTCGAGTACATTTGAACATATGTGCATCTCATAACCGTTCTAAATCTTCTCAGTAGCTCTGTAGAATTTTGAAGAGCGACTTAATTTCGCACTACCCAGTCAGTTGAAAAACGAAAATTTTGTCGTAAAAAACAGTTGCACTAGGGAAAAGCATCGTTTCATACCTTTTAAACGCGTTTTGCTAGTGTACCATGTGGTGTGCAATAGTTGCATACTATGAAACGTTACACTGCATCCGTTACAACGAATTTTAATCTGTACTGTTGAACATGATTGTTTTTCTCTACTTCTATATTTTTGATGTCAAACAATATTTTCTATCAAATACTCGTCGATTTCTGCACTAATAAATAGGTTGTAGTATGTACTATTCTTCAGTTGCTATTGAGTAATATTAGTATTTGACCAATATTATTAGAGAACATCCACGCATATTATTTTTTTTTTACTGACAAGGAATCGATTTCACGAAAGATAATTCTTTTATTAGGAGGTATATGCAATCATATAGATTAAAATATTAGACGAAAACAAATGATTGCTAACAAAAAGAGGATTGAATTGGATGTTCATGACGAAAGCTTAGCTTTTGCATGATCTGACTAATACAAATTGCAGATAGACAATTAGATTCAATATGATCAATTGTGGCATCATTAATGCAAGCAAACTCGAAGCTATAGATCGAAAGCCAGTCACACATAGTGGTAGTCCTAACGTTGTGAAGAATGAGCAGTATTGAATCATTTTTGAGGCACACGACTGATGCACAGAAGAAAGTCTAGTCAAAAATTATTTTCAGAATATCTATATAAGAGACAACGATCATGTGCCCTTCCGTAGTGACTCAACGGATCGATACCGTATTGCAATTCATTCAGAAGGGTGTGGGTAGAGTGAAGAGTCATACACACACCCACATCCGTGATCATGTCTAATAAAATAAATAAGAACCAATGAGTTACAGGAGCAGAAGGAGCAAATTGCATCAAGTAGTATTGTATTTTAATATCTTCGTAATTTCGATTTCAAAGATTTTTGTGAACTTTGTTTAAGAGATAAAAGTAAACGAGCTGGATTTAAAAGTAGATTTTTTTAGTAGAACCATTCGCACTTTTATTCCCCGTTCAAGGCGCTTTCTGAATTTTTTCTGACAATTTTCTAATTTTGAAATTTTCCATCTGACTATTCTGATCAAGTCAATGTTTATTCAATGTCGTCTTCCTCATGATATGAGTAGTGTTTTCTTTTCGATTCGTCTTTTTATCAAGCAAAATTTGTAATGCATTGAAACTCGTATGTCACGGTGATGACGAAGTTTGTACTTGCGCAATCGAATCGAAATTCTTCATGAGTCATTACTCGTTATGTTGATGAAATGTTTGCATCATCTTGTATGATTAAACGAGCAGTCATGTTTAAATTTGACAATAAATATTCAAAGTTCTCCTTGTTACGTGCCCACTTTTCGACAAAAAAATATTTCAAAATTTATTAATACTTCTATGCTACAACAATGTCAGTGTCACATGAAAATCTCAGTATTATGCCGCAACCAACAGCGGCGACACCACCATCGGAAGAAAAAACGTTGATCTGTAGTATATGTGAAGCAACGATTGCCGACACAGATGAACGACTGATTTGTCCTAATGAAAAGTGTGAGAAATGGACATGTTTCAATTGTGCCAACACGATGATCAAAATAATGTTCAGTCAACCGACACTAAATTATCCACTGAAATGCGGTGTATGTGGACAAGAATTCGATAGGATAAAAATTGAAGAAATGATTATCAAAAGTGAACATTATGAACAGTATATAGCCTGTATATTTCCACTATATTGGTCAGATGAATGTCTTGAAGAATACGAGCAATTAGCTCAATGTAAGTTTAAAATCAATTAAGACTTGTGTAATAATCTCTTTTATTTTTTTGTTGTATAATGATAGGTCCATTCTGTCCATATCTTGAAATTCATACTACTGATGCTTGTTCGATTCAATTCTTAACATGTCAAAATCCTGCCTGTGGTAAACGATCATGTCTGATTTGTTTACATGCTATCGACGATGATTTGGATCAATCTAACCATCAGTCTATTTGTATTCAGTTACAAAAATACAAACGAATGGTCGAACAAGCTATTGAGCTCGGATCTGTACGACGATGTCCTCATTGTCAATTGACAGGCATTAAAGATGATAATTGTACACATATGGTATGTGAACGATGTGAACTTAGTTGGTGCTATGTTTGTGGTATGAAAGAAGAAGAATGTGATGTAGATTACTGTGCAGATCATACTCTATCAGATCATAATCAAGGATGGGAATCGAATGAAAAACGATGTCCAATGTACCTATACAATATTTATAACATTGATAATCGATGGCCAACATCGGATGAAGGATGTCTTGAATATCTTCACCGTTATCGTACTTTGTGTGAACTTTCGAATGTACTAAAGATTATTGGAGAAGACAAATTTTATGAATTGAATGATACTTTCCGTATAATCGATGCTGCTGGATATACAATTGATGAAATCAAAAATCATGAAACTTGTGTTTTAATTAAATATCCAACAAATAATGACTAGAAAAGTGTTCATGATTATTTATACGTTTCTAAATTATTTTAAATATAATAAACACGTGCTCTACATTTAATATAATCACCGATAATGAATTAGTTACTACTGAAATTCGATGTATTTCAGACAATCTGAATGCTATTTCTGACGTTTTGAATACAAAAAAGTTGGTTTCGATATTCGAAACAAAACCAAACGAACGTCACTCAATTTAGTACTTACTTTTCAATGGCAGCTAACAATAATTTAGCATTTGCCAAAAAAAGGCTGTTATTTCTGTTTTAAATCTTCTTGACAATGATGATATTGTTGGGTATGAGTGTGGGTGCGGATGTGAAGTGTGTGCAGATGAAAACAAACCCACATCCACTTTCACCTTATTTAGTTTCCACACTCTCGAGTGTATCTCTATTATTGACACTAGCATGATTCATTCCTGAGAACAAAATTTTCGTTCTCTTTCGTCAGAATACATTGTTTAGCCTTTATCTTTGTTGTCAATCTCTATGTGATAAAAATGCTGACAATAGACAGTTACTTCTATTTGTCTCATCAGCATAGATTTTTGTTTTTGATATTCTCCTACACTTTGCTGCAAATTGCGTCCTTCGGACATTCCAACTTGTATTGAGAGCTGGAATGTACACAAATGATGTTGTTTAAAAGAATGCTCAATCTTTGTTCTTTCGATATGTTTAGATTGTGAAACATGGCATTGACTACCATCAAACAACCTTGCATCAAATGTGATAAAGGCGGAGGAATTACCGTATGCGGTGGATGTCAACAATGGTTTTGCACAAAACATTTTATTGCACATCGAGATGAACTTGCCTTACAAATGGATCATGTCGAGCAAGAACATGATATTCTTCAGCATGATTTAACTGAAGAGAATAGCATACATCCTCTTCTATCTCGCATTAATAATTGAGAAAAAACATCGATCCGAAAGATTCAAGAAACAGCAGAAAAAATTCGCAATGATTTACAAAAATATCTTGACGACCATAAAAAGCAACTGAGAATATCATTCGATAAAGTGGCAAGAGAATTACAAACTTCTCGTGAAGCGGATGATTATACAGAAGTGGATTTGAAGAAATGAATTGAACAACTAGAAGAAGTTCGACGAATGTTTGAGACACCATTAACAATTGATATAGTTGATGATGAACAAAGAGAACCAATCATTCGTCTGATTCAACTGAAAGAACGGGGTGTGGGTGTGGGGTGTGGGTGTGGGGTGTGGGGTGTGGGTGTGGGTGTGGGTGTGGATGTGGGTGTGGGTGTGGGGTGTGGGTGTGGGTGTGGATGTGGGTGTGGGTGTGGGGTGTGGGTGTGGGTGTGGATGTGGGTGTGGGTGTGGGGTGTGGGTGTGGGTGTGGATGTGGGTGTGGGTGTGGGGTGTGGGTGTGGGTGTGGATGTGGGTGTGGGTGTGGGGTGTGGGTGTGGGTGTGGATGTGGGTGTGGGTGTGGGGTGTGGGTGTGGGTGTAACGATTTAGATGATCTATACCTACACCTACACCCACAGCCGGTATCTATCGTTTTTTTACATAGAAAGATTCTCAATTCCGCCATCCGCTCTCTCATACAAATGAATGGATTATATTACAAATTTGAATGCTTACGCCTGTAAGATGATTTTATTGGAATTCCAACAAATTCAGATAAATATTTGGAATCAATTGATAGGTGTATATATCACTGTGAAGCCGTTTGGATTGAAATTCTAGACAGAGATGAAACTGGTCTAAAATTTTTCAGATCGGTCTACCGATAATGCATGATATATCGATAATTCACCTTCAGAAAAAAAAGTGGTTTAGATAGGGAGAACATGGTTTATCGCATGACAAACTTGGTTTGCCAAGTTGTATCACATACCTGATATAGAGATGGAACCAGTCTGAATTTTTAACAGCTAGTACTGATAGTGGTCTGAAAAGGTTAGATAGTTCGATTTACTGGTTATTTGCCGGTCTAAAAGTCGTACCGATACCGATTCCCTCTCTGCTTCTAGGTGCTGATGTATGAGTATGGATGAGGGTGAGGCCTCTATTCTCTCTATATTCACACTTTTCCCCAGTTTTCATT